TGCAGTCACCATCTACATTGTTGCTACCAATCCTGCCACAAAATAGAAGTTATATTCATATTACAAATATGAAATTAAATACATTATATAAACTAAAAAAAACTTAAATTAACTATAGCCCCTGCCCCATGCACATGTCACTGTCGCCACCCATGCTGCCATCACTGCCATTGTCATCGCCGTCATTCCACCGCCACAATCTTTTGCTACCATCGCTATTAGATGCGGTCACCATCTACATTATTGCTACCAATCCTGCCACTAACACCGCCACGGTCGGCTCTATCACCGTCATCGCCACCACAATCTGCTACTCTCATTCCCATTTGTTGTGGATGCCGCCTCCATCGCTTCTATGTGTTATTGTCAATGACGCAATTTCCTACCAACTTGTGATCAAGATTGCTATTGTCGCCACCATAATGTCATGGTGTCACAGCCAAGGGTAAAGGCTTTCAATACAATGGCAACCAAAGCCACAATGGCAGCCAAGGCTTTCCTACCGACTTTATTATTATTATTATTATTATTATTATTATTATTATTATTATTATTATTATTATTATTATTATTATTATTATTATTATTATTATTATTATTATTATTATTATTAGGGCAAGGTTCTAGTGACATTAACCCCTAATGTCATCCTACGACATGAGCTCCGTTTGAGGTTCCTATGGTGCTCCGTTCGAAAAATTGATTATTTCTATTCCTCTAACCCCCCGATAAACCCCCCAACTCGACTCGACCCGAACCAACCCGTCCTCCCCCGTCAATTGCACCCCACAAGATGTAGTTCACTTTGGAGAATATTCATAGCATTGTTCTTTATTGAACTTCAATTTATTAATTTTCATGATTTTCTTTTTCCCTTATTTGGTTATTCCCAAAGAAATTAACTTCATTCGATGCATAATTAACTTCATTAATTTATTTTTTGATGATTAAAGAATACGGTGTGATTGAATTTATTTATGAAGATAAAAGTGTTGAACCAAGTATTTATTTCTTTAAAAGAAAATCAAAGAACTACTCTCTCCATGTAGAGTACTTACTACTCCTTTTTCACCCCACCCCAATACAAATTGTAATGTCTTAAAAACTACAGAGTAGTATAAGAGGGGCAAAATTATAAATAAATACTCTGTATATGATATTGATTTGGAGATTTAATTATTTGGAGAAACTATATATTTTTTAAATTTGAGGAATAAGTGAATAGGGAAATACTGAAATAAGTGAAAAACAAAATAAGTGTAGAATTGTATTATCGGAAACACACAACATTATTGAGTGTTCATGAACAGATTATGACAAGAGAAACTACCATGGTTTTTTAATGTCATGAGAGAACATGTTAAGTGACTGTTGAAATACCTGTTCATAACCTTCATATTAAGAATTCAGTTTGACTTTTTTTATTCAAATTGAAAAGGAAAAATGGGGATCAGAGGATTTCTTCAAAAGGCTAGGCTACGCCCAAACCCATGGTTACATTTGGATCCCCTCTCGCTCTGTAATATATACCTCGTACGTCAGGTACGTGCGCGCAGAGTATATACATAAGTAAAGCAAAACCTAGTTCATCACTCGAACTATGGCCGCAATAATGTTTGGACAAATTAAATCAAAACAATGCTAACACTTAACTCTAAAATAACTGTTGATATTCTTAAAGAGGTTATTGTTTTTGTTGTTATTATTATTA